CTGCTACTTTAGGGTCCAAGCGAGGCATCTCTTTGTAACTCCAAGAAAAGACATGCCTAAACTCCTTGAGTAACTCAATATAAGTGCTTTCTTCATCAACTTCTAGTAAAGCACTTAGGTAGGTGGGTTTTGATTCTTCATCAGTGCCAAGGTTTACTTCTTTTAAGGTATCAACTGTCATCTTCACCCCTTCTTCAAGTTCAGGTGGAGCATATTTCACATCTTCATCTTCTTGACGGTCCCCATCATTGAAGGATATGTGATAACACGGTGAAACATCCTCCAATTTCTCGTCATTCTCTATTAGAGATAAAATACCGTGCTCGCCTTATGCAGTAACATGATACGAAGAACTCATACTTTCTACATCTTCATCACGTTCTTTAGTGTAGACCACAGTGTATGGCTTCACCTTTAGTACCTCATCACACGAAACCATGACTTTTGTTTGTCGCCTCATTCTAGAAGGAACCAGACTTTGGAAATCCTTAGAGATCTTCTGAATTTTGGGCGAAGCGGGTGTTGTTGTATTTCGATAATTTCTATGGAACTTATTTATCTTCTTTAATGGACCTAATCTCTCAAACACGGAAGCCCTCACAGTTGATTTTCCAAGTCGATCAAAGACATAAGGCTTGTTAGAAGCGGCAGATTCATCTTCTACAGTGATATAATTGTTGCCCGCCCTTCTTATGGAGATGCGCACTGGTGACGATTGCTTGTATCCCAAACCTTCATGTGGTTGCCTCATTGCAGCTTCTGATGGGAGCTTCCCTAACTTTGACGGCTCATTGGAATTGTATCCAGCTATTGCAAATAGCCTGTAAGCATTAGGATCAAAACCTTCATTTGTTCGCTTTGTCGGGAGTGCCACATTCTGCAAATGATTTTGGGCCACAAACCTTGCAAGTGGCTTTGAGGACAACTTTACTGCCTAAATTCGTTTTACCGAAAGAGTTAACTCCTTTAGCATGTTAGTTTGTAGATTTGATGATTCACCTTCATCTTTCTTCCTTTTAGGGACATATTGGAGTGCAGAAGTTACTTTCTTGCCATAAGACGCAATATCCCCTCTATAAGGTTTATTTGAGTTAAGTTGTACCTCTTTAGTAACAACTTTGGCTTTACCAGCACTCACCTAAGCTCTTTTAGTTGTGGGCTCGTCATTCTTGCTTTTCATGACATCATCAGCTTTTAGCTCCTTCACAATGTGGTTTTTCAAGTAGAACTTTGCATTGGCGAAGTGTGACTCAGCCTCGGTGAATGGCTCATCATCAATAACTATCTTCTTCTCGACTTCACCCTCGCAGTATTTTAAACATTGATGGTAGGTAGATGGAACTACTTTATTCTCATGTATCCAAGGCCTTACAAGCAAGACGTTATATGAAGTCTTTGCATCGATCACATGCAGCCATGCACTTGATTGCATATCTTCGATGGTGATTCCCAACCTGATCACACCTATGGCTCTTTTCCCCCCTTGGTTGAATCCTTGGATCATCACATAACTTTCTGAGAGTTCATCCATAGAATACCAAGTTCTTTCACAATGCGAATTGGCAAGATGTTCACAGAGGATCCTCCATCAAAGAAAATTCGATTTACCCTTTCATCATGCATATAGCCAACCAGGTACAACGAGCGGTTATGAAGAGTGTCACCTAGTAGAATATCGTCATATATGAACATAACGCTTTCCTCGCACGCGTTAACTTCTTGAGTAATAGACTCGATGAGCTTTTTTGAAGATGGTGCCAACGGTAGGTCATCACTCTTTTCTTCCCCTTTTTCAGCATTTTAACAAGAGGCCTCAATACCATCACGAGAAATCTTCATGCAGAACCAACATGGCAAGAAATCCTCCAAGGTCACTGGATGTCGTGGATTTTGAGGGTGGTGCACCTCCACTTTTGCTTTCTTCAAACTCCTAACTGGATTCTGTTTCCTTGGTTTTTTTATCATCATTTTCCTTGTTGGTTGTTCTACTGATTCTTTTTGTGGGCTCCTTCTGTGGCACCTACGACGAGTCACCAACGTCCAACCTTCATCATCATCAGGTTGATCGACTTCAACTTTATCGTTCACCAGTAATTCTTCATCTTTACTTTCTTTAAAACCACATAATTCATCCAGACTGAATGAGCCAAAGGTGATAGAGACTTTGTTTGCGCTTGCTTTCTCATCTTCAAGCACGATCTTCTTTTCACGAGCCAAGTCTATAACTTTGTCCTTGAAGACAACACACTTCTCTAGAGGGTGGCTCACAAGTCGATAGTATTTGCAGTAATTTAGGTCATTCGTTTTACCAGCTTTATTTGGCCGTTTCATCTCCGGAAGCTCAATGAGATTTAACTCGAGGAGTTTTTAAAAAATTGTTGGCACATCAGAATCCAGAAATGGGTACTCCTTCTCTTGCATTACTTTTAGAGTCAACTTCTCACTTGGTTTATCTTGAAAAGAAGTGGATTTCATACTCTGCTTCTTGCTCACCTTCGTTGTGAACTTGATAGGTGATGTGTTGACATTCATAGCTTCTTTGTTTTAGACTTGGGTGCAAACTTACTCTATTTCCTGACTTCTAGCTTGTCGTTCGCTTTGCGAGGCTCATAGATAGCCAGCCTTTCATTTCCAGCGGAGGCCATGCTTAACTCCATGTCATGGGCACGAGTCGCAAGTTTTTCAAAATGTGCTAGGCTTGATACCTTGCAAGATGTAGCGGAGTCCCCAATGCATGTCTTGGATGTACATCTCTATGCGAGAAGCTTCACTAAGCCTCTCTTTGCAGTTGAGTCTTGCATTCCTCCAACGATTGATAAAGTCGATAACTGGTTCACCCTTTAGTTGACAAGTATTTGTAAGTTCTATTATACTCACAGTACGTCTCGTGCTATAAAAGCGATTGAGAAACTCTTGCTCTAGTTGATCCCAACTATAAATAAATCCCGCCTCGAGGTCTGTATACCAATCAAAAGCATTTCCTTTTAGCGAGCGGACAAACTGCTTGACGAGGTAATCTCCATAAGTCCCATCATTATTGCACGTTTCAATGAAGTGTGCCACGTGTTGCTTTGGATTACCTTTACCATCAAACTGTTGAAACTTTGGAGGTTGATAGTTAGCAGGCATCTTCAACATATCGATCCTTGTAGTATACGACTTTGCGTATGTAAGAGAAGACTTGGTAGCAACTTCGTAATTGCTTTTAATAGTTCCTCCAATGAACTCCTTCAGTTGATCAATTGGAATCATCCCTTCAGATGAGACAGGGATAGCCTTAGCGGATGCAACTTGTCTTAGGGGAGAATTACTCTCTGGAACCTCTGGGAGCTTGCCAGGTGCGTGAGTGGATTCTTCTTCCATCAAGATTCCCACCCTATCTATTAGCTTGTCAATTCTAGCATCTTGATTTTGCATGAACTTGGTCAAGCCAGCAATTGCTTCCGTCAAGTTTGCCAACTGCTCCTCCACAAATGAAGTGTATGTCACCATGGCTTGCATGATTGTCGTGGACGATGGAGAATAGCATGGATTGTCACACAGATTGATCTTTGATTGGCTCATGCTATGTGGTGTAAGTGGAGAGGATCCATCACTTGAAGCATCATCATCTTCCTTCACATCAGAGTACTTGGGTCCGGAGAGGTCAAGCAGAGCAAGAGTTTTCTTGATCTTTTCAGCAACATCGCTTCCTTCTTCGGGTGCGTTTGTAGAAGTCTTGCTACTTTTGAGGATGAAGATCCGAAAATAGGGGTTGATGCGGACGACACTTGGGGTGCTTGTTGTCCTAATGAGCTTGCTTTGCTCCTCGTAACTGGTCCAAAACTTCCAAAGGTAACATCGAGGATGCTTTTCACATCAGCATAGAACCTGGAATTAGCAGCGTTGGTGGAAGTTGAACTGGAGTTGATTTTCTTTGAAGCCATTTTAATGTTCTTGAACTTTGGTGATTGAAAAGTTGAGATGAGAGGTAGAGATGGTCCAACTGGGCGTGCCAAAATTTGTAGATAATAAAATTGCAGCGAGAAAATAATCGAGACTGAAAAATATTGCAACAATCGTAGTATTTGATTGTAAGTAATTTGAGTGTACAATCTTTATGATTCCTCTAATTCTACTTTTCCACTATAAATTCAAGGGCCTTTGAGCTTGATCTTGAACCTATATTTGTTGTCACGAACGATGATCTTGAATTCAACTAGCACTAACTTTGATTTGAACTCGTACTCCTTGAATCTTGATTTGTTCTTCGTTCTTGAGCTTGAACTTGATTTCTTGAACTTGAACTTGATTGCTTGAAGCTTGAAACTTGTGGAGGAATTTGCAGTGTTTGATCCATGAGTTTTCTCTTGCTTCTTGTTATAACTTATAGTCCCTTTTCTGAGTTATGAAGACACCTATTTATAGTTGTGGAAGAGAAGAGTTATGATAAGAACAAACTCTTTCCGACCAATCAAATTGAAGTGTGACAAGGTCGTGTTTGACTGGCCAGAACATGTCACTTGCACACGTGGCGCGGTTTCATTGACCTTTTAATGTGACTTGGCATGCCTTGTCATATTGACACGTGGCATGATCCCATTGGCTCTTCCGTTTGACTTGCCGTGCCACGTCATTTGACACGTGACATTGGGCCTCTAGGAAGATGTCATCTTGGGCCTAATGAAGTGGACTTATCGCTTGTAGCCCGATTAAATGAGCTAACCCAATGGATTCAAAATTATTTATTTAATCCATATATATTGGACCTATATAATTAATTCAATTATATTAGATTATAATATTTATTTGGACCGATATATCTTGAATTTATAATATAATCTAAATTATTTTATGAATTTAATTTTAATAAATTTTATATGCCTACAATGCCAAGGCTCCCCTTCGAGCTAGTAAACAAAGTAAGTTAGTTAAATGAACAGCAGAGAATGGACCAATGTTATCCGCTGTGAAGCTTACAGAGAAAACATAACTGAGAATAGTGGTGACTTACACTGGCATCTTCTCTAGACATGTTGCCATAGGTTCTTGAGCTCATTCTGTCGTATAGGTTTTAGAAGGAAATCAGCTGCACCTTTTGACAAACACTTGAAAACTAAACCCACTGAATCATGAGATGACATCACTGCACATAGCCCTCATCAGGTATAGAGGAAAATAGGAGAATTGAAAATCGAAAGCCAAATAGTACTTTCCCCCCTAAAATAGTAGAATGGTAACACTGGGCCAAAGAGATTACTTACTGATCACAGGAATATTCTTGCACTTCTTGTGGCTCATGATTTTGCATAACAGGCCTATGCCTGATAAACAAGGCATTACTACCTTCACTTAACACTAGGTCAATTTGATTGGTAAGATTTTCTAATATATTCCAGGCTTGCAATCCATTAGCTGCTTCTATAACTGCAAATAACCAATTAATGTGGAGATCATAAGAGCCATAAAGATGGTAAAGTAGTAATCAAGTAAAATATATTATCAACAAACAACCAAAAAAAAAAAAAAAAAAAT